AACACAGAACTATTTTATTTTGAAGTCAAACCTTATTGATTTTAAATGTTCAATAAAAAGATTTTAACCCTATTTATAGCAGTTTACTGACATCATTTAATAATTTAAAATATGCTTTAAAACCGATCAAAATATTTTTTAGATAATATAAGCCCATTACTTACAAAATCAATTCAAAAAGTATTTAAGATATTAGGGATACATTTTATTTCTCTTGCTTGTATTTTTCCAAAATATAATCTCATAAATATTGCCATTCCCTTAATATTTGCAAAATTATATTCCCTTGAACGCTTATCCATTTGTCAGTAATTTGAATAAAAAACCCATATTCCTACCCATAAAACCCAGCCGGGTTTGACGGGAAAGTGGCCAAGCAGGCAACCCTAAGCCTTGGACTGGGGAGGACTGACATAAAGCAAGGACTGGTGTGCTGGAAAAAAAATGAATTGCTTAGCGCTTGCCCAAAATGGTCCATGGCATAAATTCCGAATGGGAAACGCATCAATCAACGGCCAGGCTCGCACACTGGGAAGCCGGGAGTCGTAGTCCGAGTCGGACTCCGTTGAGCCATGGTTCGTGATGATATTGCCGGGGAGATTAGACGACGACGACGACAGCGGCAGAGGAAACAGCGACTCCGGCAATGGCAGCCAAAAATTAAATAAGAAGAGATAACAACTAGGCACGGCCCGAGAATACGTGGAACCGCAAACAGAACGGAGCGGCAGGAGATGGAGATCCGAGAGCCCAGAACAAATAGTCATCGTTGTCATGGCCAAGCGGATTAGCTTACCTCGCCTTGCCTGGTCCTCTTACCTGCGCAACTGGACGCGGCCTGGGCTGTTTCGGATGCCGAGACAGCAGCGGCAACAAAAACAGCCGCTCCCCTGAGCCGGGCTAAAAATTTACGATTTTAGCACAGATTGTAAAGTAAATTTTCCTGTTTTTATTTCGAATTAACAAGCGGCCCAGACAAACAGACAAGCCAAACTGCAAGCAGCGCAAGAGGGGACACACGAGGTAGACGACTTAGAGCACCGTTCTCGATTGGAAGATACCCTATAATAGTACCTAGAATGTATTAGCCTTTTAGTGCGCTGATCTATATGAATATTCTGTTCAAAACAAGGTTGAGACTCGACTATAATACACCCTTCTGCCTCTTAGACAAAGATATTTGCTGACCTCATCAGCACTAATTGGTTTGAATTCCTACTTGGGAACTTTAGTTGCTCTTTGCAAAAACTTTACGCTTAATTTTAAAAGGCCAGATAAGAGATTTCTTCCCCTTTCTCATGAGTTTTTAAAATTTCCTGCTTTAAATATTTATAACAATAAATAATGCCGTTAGTTTAAAAACAGTGTACTCTTAAATTTTAATACACCCCTAAACCCCATAGAGTAGCGGGTATAAAAAACGAAAGTTTCGTGCTGACATCGGGGAATAGAAGTGAAGGCAGCATAAAAATCTTCTTGAGGATAAGAACAAGCTGAAGAAGCCATGCAGAGCAACCGGCTACCCCGGGCACAGCGGTTACTTAATAATGCAAACAGGTTTCCGCCGGGCTTCACTGTACCGACGAAGAGGAGAACAGCCAGCTAGGACTGAGACTTGAACAAGAGAAAGGCAGTCGTCGAGTTATGAATTCGATATGCCAGAAAGGAAGGGAAAGGCGCGCAGAGAAAGGAGCCCAGCACAACAAAACACAAAGGAGGATAAACACAAAAAAAAGGAAAAAAAAACGAAACGATGACAGAGATTAGAGGAACAGGAAATGTGGGCTGGATCGATTTAATGAGTGAATGCCCGGGATCCGAAAACTGCAGATCCCGAGAACAGGCCCAGGGAACAAGCCAAGCTATGGGAGAACTGCATTTAAATGGAAATTGTACCAAATTATAGTCTCCACTCCTTCCGAAATATAATATTGCAGACCCAATAAAAATCCTAGAGTATTTGTTAGGATCTTGAATACCATAAAGCTTGCTTCTGTGGAAATAGAAATATAAAACTTTCTGGGGTTCCCATCACATAGTGGTTTTAGTTACGAGTTACAACATCTAGTAACCAAAAAGGAAGTTAAAAGGAAGTTTAAGTTTGTATATCCTTGAAGTCTAAAATTGCATCAGAGACCGAATTGGAAATATATCATAACTAAGACAAAAATGCATTAATTTTATTTCGGAAAGCAGGTTTGTGTTAGTTTTGATTAGTTTAAAAAAACTGCATGCATCATTTTACATTTAAAAAAATTAAAATTCTTGTCAATTTTTGGAAATTTTAACGATTTAACCCCTTATCAAATTTTGAAAAATTGGTTACAAACAAAATTTTCCCCCGGACATGGCTTAAACGATTCGCATGTTGATGCTGATCAAAAATATATATGATTTATGAGGTCGGAAATGACTCCTTCACTGCGTTACTAACTTTAGACTGAAATTATATGGCATAAAAAACTTAAATAAAATACAATTTGGCCAACTTTGTATAATATTTAATTACTCATTTCATTTTGCAATTAAGTCAATTGCACTTGAGAAAAACTTTATCTGTCTAGAATTTCTAATTTCACAAAATTTCCTGGACAATTACCACAGCCAGATTACTTGTTGTTGTTGGTCGGTGCCAACTCTTGGCCAATTTCCTGTTGCCTCTTTTTTGTTCTTCACCTTTTTTTTCCTGTTGCTGTAGTTGGTTTGGGCCGTGAGCCCATGAGCAGAGCAGAGCGACTGTTTCTCTAATTCGAGCAGTTTGGTAATTTCCAAATTGGCGGCCCCGTAATCAAACTGTAATGCGGCCGACTCGTCATTAAGCACGCAAGCAGCTAGCAGCAACAAAAGCAACAAAGTAACGAAGCAGCTTGGCACGGCAGCCTATAAAAGCTGCAATAATGGTGGTAAAATTAGCAAAAAAAACAACTGCAACAATATAGTAGCAAAACCATAGGGCAGAAAATACTTTCAAAACCCAAAAATATATCAGAAGCAACCGCAGAAAATTGTCAAACAGTTTTTAATTTGCACAGGAGAAACTAATATACCATATCAAAGTTGGTCAGCAAAGGGATATTGACAAAAGACGTTAATCCAGCCCAATCCTTATCTGCTATACAAAAAAATTAAAATAAATATTTAAATATAATATAAAACTTAATTATCAGCGGACATACGAACAAATTCAATTTAAATGTAAAATTAAAAAAGATAAAGCAGCAATAACACGCCCAAGAGCGGCTGCAACAATTTCTCGCAAACATATGCTGGGGGGAAAAAGCAAGAGCACGAAAACAGCTTTCGGAGCCCGACAGTCGTCGTCACTAACCCACACACACACATGGATGGGACCCACATCTACCTCACCACCTCCCACTGGCGCATCAGACACACCTCCACCTCCCCACCTCCACCCCGCCACCCACAAACGCCAAAACAGCTGATTCGTTATCAGAGAGTAAGTTGAAATGAGAGAGCGCTGAATGGAGAGAGCGGGCCAACAACAATAAGTGGGGGAAAAACGACGCCAACGGCGGCTGCTGCTATGGCAACGACCTTCCTTATTTATTACAATGTGTGTAATTCTGTCTGCCTCTCTCGCTCTGTCTCTGTCGCTCCGTGGGTGTGTGTGCGAGAGAGAGAGGCTGCCATAGATATAGTAAGTCCCCCCTTCCGCGACTTAAATTCCCAAGTTTTTAGTGCAGAAATGTCTGCAATGCTTTAGCGTTTAATATTGCTGTATGTTTGAGTTGTATTTTTGTTTTTGTGATTTTTTTAGCTGCAGAAAAGCCTCTCAGTGCGCAGTTTTGGATTTTGTATTCCAAAGGCTATGAGTAGGAGGTGTTTTTGGGGATTTTTCCGGATCTGTTGGGAGATTCTACTTATAAATGAACATTTATTTGGAACTAGGTGTGTTCTATGGTGGGGCTTGTAATGATTTTAAGGTCCTGAAGAAGATATTAAGATATTTCACCAGGGAGAAATTTACAATTTAAAATCCCTGTATTTGTTTCGATTATTCGCTCGATTTCGTAATTAAGAAACCTCAACCAAGGCAACGATGTTTTTAAAAATATAAGAAACCATTAACTTATTTACGACTTGCTCGAAATGGACAAAGCGCTGGTTTTTGATGGCCTCCACATGGCGGTGGTAAGTTTTATAAAAATACATGACTATAAAAATACATTACAATCAAGAAGTGTAGGAATTTTATTTAAATTTAATTTCTGTGAAATATTATTTTTATTTATACATCGATTGTCAGCGAAAACAATAACAAACGAAGAGTTACCAAACCTAAATATTTCTAGAATCCGCGTAGCTATTAAAACGGTGTTGATTTTATTTAGAAATCCGCCCGAAAAGAGGTTCCGCTGATAAATTTATTTTTATATTGAGTTTTTAGTGCAACTCAATTAGCTCTTAGCCCGGTGTTAACCCCTTTAGGCCCCATCGGCTTTTACGTCCCCATAAAGCTGCTCCCAAAAAAAGCGTTTGTCGTAAAAAATTAAAGCAGGGCAGCACTTAACACGCTCAGAAAACGGGAAAAATCGTATTACAAAATAATACGCTCCCTCTCTCTCTATCTTTGGCTCTCCACTCACTCTCGCTCGCTCTTTGTGGTTGTAAAGATGGCCGCCGTGTAGTAATATGGCTGAATGTGTAACACACACACAGGCACACCATCAAAGAGCGAGAGAGCGGCGGCCATATGTACTGAATGCAATTGGCTTTCGGGCTCCAGAGGACGTCACGGAACATCAGCTGTGCCGAACAGCAGGTAAGCGTCGGCAGAAGGGCGGCAGCGCAGCGACTGCGGGCAGGTAATGGATGTGGATGCCAAGTCCGGCGAGAGCGAGAGGTGATTTAAAAAACGCTCTGCGCACTCAGCAGAGAGAGAAAGAGCAAATTTAGAGAGAGAAAATGTACCTTGTGGAACTTGAGGATTGTGGAACTTGTGGATTCTATCGTGACGCTGCCGTTTCCTAAGCGTTTCACGTATATTCACATTCATTCACTTTCAAACTTTCGAACCGAGCGGTCCGCGAATATGCCACATTTAAGGCTAGAAATTATAAATTAAACGGGCATCTGGTCATCGCGGACGGAAAGAAAGAACTCGGATCTTGTGCGGATCATAGAAAGCGGAGCGCTAGAACCGAATGAAAAGACACGTAGTAGGCGAGCAAATCAACTGTTAACCAGCCAGCGAAAAACGGGCGAAAAAGACTGAAAAACACACACGTGGATTGTTCACTCACACACACCCACTCCTCCCACACTCAACACACACGAACGCAGCTCTAACTGTTCGCTGCATTTATGTAAAACAAAATCAAAGACTGATTAAAACGCTAAACAAATAAATATATACAAAAGCATATATAAACGAAACAAAGTTAAACACGCGAACAGCAAGCTAAAATATTATACGGGTTAAAAAGCGAATTCCAAAGCAAAAACAAAAGTAAATATATGGATTAAGGTTCCTCCAAAACGCAAAACAAAAATTAACAACAAATACAACACTCACGGATTACCTGCAGCAGCAAATTTACCGTTAGCCGCTCTTTTTTGGATTACCAGTGCCAATCAAATCAAATAACAAAAAGAAAACAACCACTAAAAAGTGAATTTTTTCGAAAGTGCGAAAGCAAAGAAAAGAAAAGCCAGCAAAAATGCAAAAATTCTAAAGCAACAAAGTAAAAGCGAAAAGCTACCCAAAGCGAATTCTGTGTTAACAAAACTCGAACTCGACTCGAGAAGAGCTAAGGAACCGCGGGAGCAGGAAGCAGAGTCAGGAGCAATGACGATGGCCGCCTGTTATGCCAACTACGACATGTCGTCCCTATCGCACGGCATGTCGGCTCTGTCTGCCCTGCAGCAGCAGCAACAGCAGCAGCAGCAGCAGCAGCAGCAGCAACAGCAACACAGCCAGGTGCAGCAGCAGCAGCAGCAACACCATCACCAGCAGCAGCAGCACATGTACCACGCCGCCGTGGCTGCCCACCACGCCCGTCACAGCCATGCGGCGGCGGCCCAAACGCAGGCCGCCGCCGCCGTTGCCAGCAACAGACAACAACAGCAACAGTCCGCCAGCAACAGCAATAACAGCAATGGCAACGGCGGAAATGCTGCGCCTGCCGCTTCCCCGCAAAAGGACTACAGCATCCCGCTGCACGTGGACTGCAGCGTGGAGTACGAGCTCCCCAACCAGCCCAAGCCGCCGGCAGGACAGCGCGTGGAGCCGCTGCTGATGATCCATCCGTGCTACTTCCGCAAGATGGAGTCGCAGCGCCGCAGTCCGTTCGTGAACAACATGCATGCCACGGCACGGTCCATCAGCTCAAGCTCGCTGAGCAGTGGAGCGGCCCTGGGCGGTAGCGGCAGCGGAGCGGCGGTGGCCACAGCGCCCAGCAGTAGTGCGGCCAGGCGGGGAGCCCGTGCGGCGGCCTCCACTGCCCAGCAGCAGCAACAACAACAGGCGCAGCGCTATCAGCAGCAGCAGCAGCAACTGCGGCAGCAGCACCAGCAAATGTCCCAGATGTCCCAGCAAGCTCACTATCCCCAACAGCAGTCTAGTCTGGAGCATGTGCGGCGGCAGCAGCAGCAGCAGCAACACCAGCAGCAGCAACAACAGCAGCAGCAACGTGCCAGCAGCAACCAAAGCCAACGTCAAAGCCAAAGTCAGAGCCATGCGGCCAACTCGGCGGCTGCGGCAGCGGCGGTCCAGGCCCAGGCCCAAGCCTCCATTGCCGCCGCGGCTGCCGGTCAGTGGGATCAGCTGGCGGCGGCACTGGCCGCCCGCACCGCCCTCACGCCCCATCACATGCTGCACCCGCACAGTCACAGTCACAGCCATTATGCGGCCAAGGGCAGCGGTGGCGGCGGCGGCAAGCGGGACGCCATGATCTCCGGCAGCAACTATGGACAGACGGCGGCTGCCTCAGGAAAACTGCAGCAGCAGCAGTCTCAGGTGCAGCAGCAGCAGCATCAGCAGCAACAGCAGCAGCAGCAACAACAATGCCTGCCCCCGCCGCCCTGGGATGCGACGTCCATGCTGATGGACCGGTCGCCTATGGCCACAGTTCCTAGCAATTATCAGGCCGGCCCTGACACCAATCCCATGCGCCTCTACTCGGCCACGCCCACAACGGGAGCGGCCACAGGCGGAACAGCGGCGACAGCGGCGGGTACGGGAGCAACGGTGACGGGAACGGCATCGGGAACGGTTGCTGTGGCGATACCGGGAGCGGTAACCACCGCCACGGACAAGCTGAGCGGCAAGTACCGGCAGTACCTGCGGTCCCAGAGAATGCATCCGTATGCGGCGGCCGCCTCGCTCAACCTGGCAGCCGCTGCTGCTGCCGCCGGTCAGACGTCCTTTGTCCCGTTTAGCTCGGCGGCCACAGCGGTGGCGGCCACGCCCACATTCCAGCACCTGCCGCAGATCTCCTGCTACAACGTGTGATGCAGTAGCAGCAGCACCAAGGACAACGGCAATAGGAGCAGCAGCAGCAGCAGCAACATGCAACATGAGACACAGACGCCTACCAAGTACGCGTCGATGAAATAGCCGCCTCAAGGAATAACCAATAGATCCTCCCCTAAGCATTACTATATATACACACCGCCCCCTCAAAGCTTTTAGAATCAAAAACTAATTAACTCTAACGACATATTAAGAGATGGAAAAAATTAACTGTTTAGCTGCTATGAGAAATTGTTGTCGGAAGGCTAGAAGGCGAGAAAGCGAGAGAAAAAGAGGAAAACGAGCGATCTTTTTTCTTTTTTTATGTAATGGTAGTAATTGATAAACGATACAAAAAGAAACAACAAAAAAATGCAAACTATTGTAGTGATATTTGTTATAAAATAATTTTAGTAATTAATTTAATTTAAATTAAACAACCAACCAGAAACAACAACCGCTCTGTGTAAAACCAACAACCATAAACAATGGCAACAAGTACATCCGACAACCAAACCAACCAATTGCTAAAAACTACACATACGCATATTTAATTAAACAAATCAAACAAAATGTTATAACAAACCATTTAAGAAAGAATACGAAAATATGAAAAGCAACAAATTATTACCGAATGAATAAGACAAGACAGACGACGGGACAGACAAATAGAGAGAGAGAAAAACAGAAAAAAGCGTAAAGCAACACAAAAAATACGAATAAAAATTATTCAAAATTATGCAACGTAATTTGAAGCGAGATATGCAAAAAATTAAGTAAATTGTGTTTTCAATTCATGCTAGAAAAGAGTGTGTAGTTCAAGTGACTAACCTGTGTATGCGGGAAAGAGTTTCCACTGCCGTCGGCTCTCGTGGATTACTTTTCACACCTTCCTTCCTTGTGGCCTGTCTCTGGCTTCTCTTCTTGTCCGCCTTAATTTGATTTTCAGCTTTGCTTTGCCCCATCATTTCGCTTCGCTTTTTTTCCCCCTGCGCTGCGGTGAGCTGTGATTGATTAATGTCATTGATGGAAGACCTCCGTTTTTGGGGTTGAAGAAACGTAATTTCACAGTGGTCCCTGCTTAATGGAAAACCTTTCCGCGTGGAACTAATTTCGAAATTGGATTGCGTCGATTTTACGACCCAGATTGCAGTTTATTATTATGTTAAAGTTTTAAAAGAATTAAGATTCAAGTGATTTTCTTTAAAAATGCTAGGTTCCTAAGCTATATTTACTGTTTCTAATGCTTATTTGAATAATCATTTCCTGCAACCAAAACAATTTAGTTTTCAATTTAATGTTGTGAATTTTCAATTCTTTTAAGAGAAGTCTTGTTATCTTATATACATTTTAATTGCATTTTTAAAGTAATCCTAAAACTAGAAATCATAGATTTTGGAAAAGCTTTAAACTCATTTTGGGTCTTCTGATTTATTTTATTTCCTTAACGACATAAAACCTAAGGCCAGCTTGCAGTTCCCTAATTTCAGAAGAATATATAGCCCATGCTCATTCATTCAAACAGTATAATTCATTTGTTTTTGTGTCCATGGCTCCGGTCGTACTATTACCCCGATTTTCCCCTCAACAGACTAGTGTTTACGACCTCACATAATGCTTTGTTTGACGGCAAACCCACAGAAAAGTCTAATGGTTTAAAGCTAAAGTCTGAGCTGGCAGGAAACGCGAGATTTTTATCGGCAGAAATTTTTTTTAGCTTCGGCCTCAAGGTCCCTCGGGGAAATGTGTATTTTCCATTATTGATTGCGAGCCGAAGCGATTGGAGACGGTTCGGTTCCATGGGAGTTGCGATTCCAGGAAGTAAATAACTGATTAATTTATGCATAGGCAAGGGAAGCCCGCTGAGGATTGCGAGTGTGGCAATCAGCGAATTAATTAAGGCAAAAAACTGTTTTTGGATGTGAGCCGAACGACATCCGCTGTAGACCAAAAACTGACTCATCCGCAAAACAGACTGAACCGCTTTAGGCTGCCCCAAATCCAAACGAGTCCGTGTCCACTTCCAAGTTGACTTGTCTCCACTTAAGATCCAACAAGGAGAGACAAGAGGCTGGAGCAAAATGCAGCCATAGGCAGGAACTGGCCGAGGCCAGTGTTGACGTCTGGAAAATGTCTGGAAAATAGCCAACAAAAAATCAATGCATTCTTCATGTTATAAAGCTAAAACAGCAACGACACATATATTTTTAAAATATTATGTTTGTTCATTTTGGGAAATGTATTATTTTTTGTATATATTTATATGTCTATAGAGAAAATTAAATTAAAGGTAACATTTACGATCTATAAATTATTTAATATTATTTTAACATGTTGGCCCAATTGGTTTTTATATCGATTTTATGTCAGAATTATGGCCAAGATCTCCCTTAAACCCCAAAGTGAAGCCAGGTACTGCCGTAGTTTCCCTTGATTGCGCCCCACCATCCCAAGAAACGATTGCCATCTATTCATTTATTCAATTCATATTAAATTGGTCGTAGATTAGAGGACGGAAAAATATATTTCAATTGCCGGCGACGGTGGCGGCGGCGTTCACACAAGTGTAATTAAAATATACTCCAGCTGACAGCGTCGGTTGTTTGTTTTCATTTCGTTTGAGCAATCAACTATCAGCTGCTGGGGCCATTTGCATGAGCCCCCTCACAGCCTTTGCTACCCCGTCGCAACCCCCACAGCCATCAATCCATTTCGAATGCGAGGTCATCGCCATTGTCGTCACTCATACGCCCCGTTGCCCGCTGCCCGATGGGCAGGTGCTGCTCGTCTCGTCTCGTCTCGGCTCGGCTCGTCTCGTCTGGCATTACTAAGCTGAATAGAGGCTGCACTTTGGATTCGCATATTCACATATTCGCATTCACATCTGATTCGATTATAGTGCCATGTGCGGGCCCCGGTGATAATGTCCAGTCGCCCGCCCGAGTGCCGTACTTGAGTGCTTTCGCTTATTTGACATTTTCCGTCCCGTTCCCAAATTGAGCTCAGTGATCAAGTGGCTAGTTTGGGGGCCGTTGGGAGAGATTACATACATATTTTGGGGGGACTTTATCACTGAGGCAGGAAGGGGAAACCAACCATTTCCACTGAGAGATTTTAATTGAGCTCTTATCATTACTGTTTACGATTTCATTCAAGGCGGCCAAGGGTTTGTTATTCAAAACAACTAAAAAAAGAACTTAAATTAATTGTGCGTTTTTTGTTTTCCTAAATAATAGAGGCAGAAGTAATAAGTATAAAATTTTAAGGGTCTAAATCACTAAAAGCTTAGATAGGAAAACTCTCGTTTCATTACCTAAGAGTTCTTAATACGTAGCAGCTCAGAATTATTTCTAAGTTAAGGCGGAAATAATTATTTTGAAATGTTACTAAATGTTACAAATAGTTTTACAATTTATTTGGGGCATAATCCTTTCAATTCAGCTTCACTGTTTCACGTAGATTTCAGCTCACAAACCCAACTAACAAGAGTTCCAATAAAAAGGGAAAATAGCACTCACAGCCGAGATTCAAAGTGATTTGTATCCGTCGGATGCAGGTTCCAATGGCCGCATTCGATTAATCGCTTTGCCTTTCGCTTAGTCAGAGCTGAATGTACAGACTTATAGAGCGGGATAGGTCAACTAAAAGGTTTTTTTCTCCTCTAATTGACTTTATTTAGACGTTCATGCTTGTTTTTTTTCTGCCGTCAATCGGAGAGCAGCTGCCATTTAAAAGTCATCAACAGATAAATAAACCCAATATTGGCCCGACAAAGGCAAACCAACAACCAAGTGAAACAAAAACCGATGCGGCTGGGGGAAAACATGCAAATAAAAGGCACCGAATAACAGAAGCACCCAGTTGCAAGACTCAGTTATTTTTAAATTCACGTCCCGAGTAACGAAAATTGTTCAAAATGAAATGACGCAAAGCGCATTAAGCCAAGTCCACGCCGCGAATATAAAAAGAGTAACCCAAAACTAAGTGGAAACGGCGTCGGCAGTTGTCAAGCGCCAAACAAAAATAAAAAAAAAAATACGGGGCAAAAAAAACACAACGTCGGAAGCTGTCTAACCAAACATTGTCTGCGGGGGCGGCCAGTGGGCGTGGCAGGGGGGGCTAAGTGGCAGCCACAAAAGAGGGAGAAACGCGGAGGATACTCGCATTGAGGCTGGTCATAAAGCCGATATTTACGAGGCGGAGGCAACTCCACTCCCAGACTTCAGACATCGGAGACTCTGGAGACCCCGGACTCCGATTTCAGACCTAGGCAACCGGTTTTGTCGTCATCATTTCATTTTTTTCTCTGCTCTTCGCTTTGCTCTTTTTTTTTTCTTTTCGTTTTTTGGGTCAACTTCAATCTGCTGCCAAGCGCGCTACATCATTTCTGACATAATTAAAACATTTTTAGCGGGCAAAAAAAAAGCATTTAAACAACGCAGAAACGGGGAGTGAAAAAAAAACACAACAAAATCATTTAAATATTTTCTAGGCTTTCGGTAATTATTATGCCCTGCCTCTTCGCCGCGACGATTGCCAAGAGCCATAAATTAAGTGCGTATAAAAAAAGTAAATAAATATTTATGCGAGCGAGAGAGTGAGCGACAGTTTTAATAAGCTTTAATTAAAAAATATAACAGATCAGATAAAAACGAATGCAAATATATGTATTAAATTGTCATGCGGTAGCTGTAACTAATTAGCATAATTTATATGCATGAATGCACAGCGCGCGGTGCGAGATAGACCGCGCGGGATTAAAACAGCGGCTTTAAATAAATTAAAAAATAAATTATTAATTAAAAAGGCAAATTAATGGCACTTAATTGACCTCACTCTCTCTCCGCGGAAGATTATAAGCCAAATGTATGGAATTATACACAGCGATATTCGAAAAGCCAAGCCCAACAACAGCTTAGCAAACTATAAATAATTAAGCTCACCAAATGGGAATTTCGTATTTTTGTTTAGTAGATTGCGCTGAGTCAGCCAGACAGATGATGTCAAAAGGCGATTTGTCATTGATTTCTAATTCCTAATTATACCTGGCGTTGATATTTTTAGCTTGCTAAAACTCAAATAAAACTCCCTCCCCAGGCTTTGCGCAATTGTGAAAACTTTTGGCTGGCCCAGAAGTTGTTAACAAAATCATTGCTGAGCCAAAGCCAAATCACTTAGCTGCCTTTTCAATTGGGCAAGAGCGTGGAAGGAGACAGGTAACATTAGAGAGGGAAGGTCAAGAGCTTTCAAAAGGCCTACAAAACCCATAAAAAATCAACTTGAACTACAAACTTTAGACTTGGCTGAGCAACAAACAAACATGACAACGTGTAAAACTAGTTAGCTAGCGCAAAAATATCTAAAAAAAATACAAAAGTCGAAAAAAATACACTTACACACAAAAAACAATTAAAAGGCATTAACGCTTACAGCTGCCTAAGTGCAGCATTTACTAGGGTACAGTGCGTTCCAAGGCCATAAGGAAGCTAAACATCATTTAAAAGGTATAATTAAATCAATGACAGCAAACAAGTAAATCAATTTATATTTTATTTATCAAATAATTGGAAATTAAATGGAGATTTCAAAATATTTTCTTAATTGGAGTCTTTCCTTCCTCTATTTCTTAACCTCCCTATCCTCCTGAACCGCACTGTATCGCATTTATTTCGAACACGAAACATAAAGAAAACTATTAGGTAAACGCAACTCGAAATACAATGTAACAAGTTAAAATTATATGTCAGATGGCAAGCCAAATGTCTTAGGGGGAAGC